CGTAAAAGTATACTTCTAGCCAAGACCCAACGGTAATTATTGGCTGCGGGTGGTAAATGTAATTGGCAACATTTCTTATATATGAATTCTTACGGAGCAGAGATATTCTTGAGACGTTAAATATTTGATATATATATTATATAAACGTACCTATGATCTATGTTTTATTTGTATATTTTTACGGTTTGTTAAATATGCAAAATATGCAGATCATGCATTAACGTCAGAATATGCAAAATATGCATAAAATTTTGATATTTAATCAATCAAGTAATGATTTGGACACTCATTGACTGCATGTATATGATGTTGAAAATAACAACATGCATTTTATGCAAAATCCGGTCTTTAGTTATGTCTTTTCGTAAGCCTAAAATATATTTTAAATAAGTACATGTTATTTAAAAAAAAAAATGTTTTGTTAATTGTACCTTCAATTTTTTTATACAGAGACTGATCTAAGTTTTTTCTGTATGCAATTGATTTCGTAATTGCTGTTCGAAATCGAATTATATTCCTTGTAATAAATTTGCGAGTATAACACGGATATAATGTTTTTTTTGTAAGAGCCATTAATTTCTGACCATAATTTCGTAGAATATGGTTCCTACATTCGATTTTTTCTACCAACAGTCGTGGGCCATATGGAAGCAATTCATGTAAACGTTTTGAAACGCTACTATCGCCATCGCCTAAATTAAAAAAAAAAGTATATTGATTGTATATTTGAAACTTGTTTTTTTGAATTTTTACCAATCAATTTATTAAATTTTAATCCATGTAGTGAAACGCTTTTTAAAAACCCTTCCGAAATAGCATCGGCTTCAATGCTAGTGGCACCTTTAGACCAGTTCAAGACGCAGATATGTTCTTCTACACTATTTTCACTATTTTTGGCCCTTTCACATATAACACAATAGCGATTGCGTATCCCAACATACAACACTTTTTTTGATCAATAACCAATAATTGTTGCCTACAAAAAGTTAGTAATCATATATAGATAAGTGTTTTATTGCAAACTAGCACCGGCAGTGGCGCACATTATATATATCTAGGTGTAGCAGTTGCGACACCTATTTTCAAAATGGGTGGGTGGGTAGGTGATCATGTTAGAGAGCGAAAGTTATACTTAATATGGACTTTTATTCTGGATGCATAACAATATATGCAGAATTTTAATATTAGTGTTAAAAATACTTTAGGACATTACATTTGATTAAGTAGTAATTATATAATATAAGGAACAAGCTCAATAACGGTTTAATTTTACTTATTATTATTAATTATTTTTATTTATCATAAAATCATAATATAAAATATAAATCTATAATATATTATTATAAATTTATAACTATGTATTACCTCTAGGCTACAGCTAAAAGTAAAAACCCATCAATGCTGATTGTTGACGATGGTTGAGTGAGTGAGGAGTGAGGACAATAATATAGCAACAAATAGTTTCTGTAATAAGTATATTTTTAGACAAAAATTCCGTGTTTACCGCATTTATTGCCACTTGCCAACAATCATTATCAACCAGTCTATTCTGCACGTTATATTTTCTCATATTGTCATAATAATTAATTCACATGCGTATAATAGTGTTACTATTATATTCCATAGCCATTAACCATACAGGCACAAATCAAAATATTATTCCATAATAGATACCGCCTGCCTAACAGTGTACTGTACTATTTAGCTTAGTAATTTCTAATAGTCTAAGTCTAATACTAATTGTAAATTTGTAACTACGTAAATGTGTATTTGTATTGTGTATTACTTATTATTTAGCTTTTGTGTAAATTAATAAAAAATAATGAATAACCACATAATGTGTAGTTGTGGAAAAAACAAGGGCAAATTAAATGAAACCAATTGGAAGAGGCATAAAGAGGCATGTAATAAAAAAAATATTTATAGTTCTAATATTAAAAAGTTCTTTTTGACTGAAACTTCATCAACTACAGCTGCAAAAGGTAATTTTATTCCTATAATATTTTAGTAAATTAATTATATTTATTGAAATGTATAATAATAATATTGTGATTGGTCGTCTATTGTTATTAGCCATAGTAATAGCATTTATTTTATCAATGGTAATAGTGAATAGGTACCTACTTGAGTACTATTATTTTGTGTTTAACATTTTAAAACCACTATATATTTGTGATAGATTTTTTTTTTATTATAATATGTATTATATTTTTTACTTTATTATTTTATTCACTGATCAACAAATTTTAGGTTAAATCATTTGAAAGATTTCACAAATATTTTATCACATTTTAATTTTATTATAGGTAATTTATAATATTTATTAAAACTGTAGTCTGTAGACATCATAAAATGACAAACTAAATTAAATAATTTAATAAACTTTATAAAAGTAGGTAAAAAAAACAACCTAAAAAATAAATGCTAACCAACATTTTATGTAAAATATGAATTGTTAAATATTCAATCTAGATTAATTTTAGTTATACATTTTCTGTTAATTATTTGTTCAAGTACCAATGTTAAATGAATCGTTAACTCGGTGTATCAATGAAATTAAAAATGATTAACAATTTATGTTACTAATAAGTATTTTATATTAGAAATTCTAAATTATTATATATTTATATAGGTACAATCTTTAATATTGTAATTACTAATTATTATTATTAATTTGATGGCAAACTAATGTTGATACCTATTGTTTTTTATTTTTATTTTAAATGCCAAAATTAATTAGGTATATTATAATATAGGATTTAAAAATTGTATAGAGTTTATTTTTATAAAATATTTAATTTATGTGAAACACAAATAAAAAATAAATTGTCAATTTAAAATATATGATTCCACTTAAAATGAGAAAATATTTTGAAACAAATTATATACTTATGATAAAACAATAGGTATAAAATAATTTAAACAACAATTTAATTAAATAAATAACCTTAACTTAGAAGCATAAGTCACAAACATAAATATAACCAAAAGTCAAAACACACTTTAAAACTGTTAAAACATCAAATATATTATTTTATGTTTTTTTTTATTTGATTATTTAGTTATTTAAAATTGTTTAATTATTATGCCAAATTACAATATATTAGGTAGCTAGGTATTTTATTAGATTTAGATTATTATTCTTAATTCTTCAATCATAGATTTTTTATGTATACAAAATATAATATTGTAGGATGTAGGTATACAATTTTTTTTTTCACAAAATTAAATAAAAAATTTGGAACTATACAAACATGAAATAATCATAAAAATATAATTATTAAATTAAAGTACCTTATTAATATTAATAAGTTTGGAGGTAAATTTTTAATAGAATTTAGAACTATGTTTTTTACTATTTGTTTTTTTTTTTTTATAAAATAACTATTACTTTATTATTATACTAGGGTTACTGAACTGACCAGTGACTATATCTATATGTCTAATACATATTATATATATATATATAAATGTTTTTATAGTTTATTAATATACACAATTATTCTCCCTATAATCTAGATAAAACTACAGAAATAGTACCAGTACAAGGTAAAATTCAAACTGACCTGCCGCAAAATGTAATACCTCAAACAACTCTTATAAATGAATTAAATTTAAAAATTAATCCACTTTCTAATCATGAAATAAAAATTACTGAAAATGTGGACTTATCAAATCAAATTCAAGTCGATGAACATAAAATAATTATACCACAAATATCTCAAACTCTAACTCAGACAAATGAAGATAATATTGATTTTAACATAGACTATGATCCATCAACATTTTCAAACATTCAGGTATTAACGTGGGAAATGAAAAATCATTTAGTAAAATATGGTCTTTGTCAGCCATTACCAGAGGATCTATTAAATGGACAGTATCCTAAAGAAAAATGTGGGAGACATTTTCAATGTCAATGGTACAAGAAAATGCTTCCAGATGGGTCAATAATTAGTAGAGATTGGCTTACTTATTCAATAAAGACAAATCGAGCGTTTTGCTTAGATTGCATTTTATTTTCTGATAAAGGGAATCTGGCTTGGACAAAAGTAGGATTTAATACATGGGTTCATGGTTCAAATAGGATTATTGCTCATGAAACTTCATCCACTCATGTACAAGCTTCAATTAAACGTAAAATCCAACAATCCCATTTACCAATAATACCATCTCTTACCTCAAAAAAAAAAGAACAAGTGTTTATGAATATTGAGGTAGTCAAACAGCTAATAGATATTACAGTTTTTTTGGGAAAACATAATTTAGCGTTTAGAGGGCACCGCGAAAATATGATAAATGAAATGTGTGGAAACTTTAAGGACCTTGCATTATTATTGTCAAAATATTCACCTCACATGGCATGTTATTTCACACAAATTAAATCATCAAGGTTTTCTTATTTATCATGGAGACGTCAAAACTCTCTAATTGATGCAGTTTCTTCTTGTATTACAAACAAAATTGAAAATTTTGTTAAAAATGCTCGTTTATTTAGTATAAGTATTGATGGCACATTTGATGTTTCGAGGAAAGAGCAAATATCTTTTGTTATACGTTATATAAACGAAGAAGAGTTTAAAATAGAAGAGAGACTATTAGTTCTAAGAGAAAGTTCTTCAACTCAAGGATGTGATTTAGCAAATATATTTTTTGAAGTTTGTAACAAACATCAAATTGACTGGAAAAAATATTTAATCGGCCAATCGTATGATGGTGCCTCTAATATGAGAGGTCAATATAATGGCCTTCAAGCTATCATTAAAAAAGAAAATTCACAAGCAACATATGTATGGTGTTGTGCACACAGACCTAATCTAGTAATAACAGATGCAGTATGTTGTAATCTTAATGCTATGGATTTATTTGGAAATGTAGAGAAAATTTTTGATTTTATTTGTTCTAGCAAAAAAAGAGTGGCATTATTTGAGGAAAAACAAAAACATATGTATAAAAATAAAAGAATAAGAAGAGTTAAACGTGTTACTACTACACGTTGGATGTCCCATAAGTATGCTTTGGACGTTGTATTAGAAACATTTGATGCTCTAATTATAACATTAGAAGAAATTCGTGGACAAGAAGGTCAACATGATCGACGAGCTGGATCTGATGCTGGTGGTTTATTAAATTACTTTTCTACCAAACGATTTCTTCTCACAGCTTTCTTATTTAAAAGCATTTTTGATATCATTGAACCAACATCATTAATTCTACAAAGCCCCGATATGGATATTTTAGCAGCAGTTTTATTAATTGAAAAAAACATTCAGCAAATTAATAAATTACGTTCAGATGAATCGTTTGAAGAGTTTTTAATAGAAACAAATAATTTTGAAAAATCTTTGACTAATGTAGAGTCATTTAATGATGATATAAAACGCATAAGGAAAAAGAAGAAAATGCAAGGAGAAAATGCAACTGACGATCCCATAACAGATCCTTTAAGATTCTTTAAAACAGCAACATTCTATACAGCAATTGATTGTACAGTAACACAACTAAAAGAACGGTTTTTGGGAAATAATAAGTCAAAAAATGACCAAACAATGGGATTACTTAAAGATATATCTTTACTATCAAGGAAGCGAATCAAAGAAGTTCAAAATAAACATACATCATTACCTGAAGACGCATTTACTGTATTATGTGATATATATAAATCATTTGTTGACAAAGATTCAATATGCAAAGAATATATTCAATTTTGTTCTATCATTGACCAATTAGAATTAACTAATAATCTACCATCTAATTTACATAATCAAGAGAACAACAACGCTAATTTAATAGATGAAAATACATCTTCTGAATCTGAATGCGTTGAATCAGAACCTGAAGAACAATATACCCGTGAACCAACGTCTCCTACTGATTCTAAAATAACCAAAAATCATGCATCATTGCTTCCAATTTTTAAGTAAGAAGTTAAAAGTATACCTAGTTAATATTATTAATTAAAATTCATATTGTTATATAAACGAGTAAGCATTAATGGTTTTATTTTCTTATAGGATATTTTGTACAAATGGTATGAAACCTATATTTCCAAATTTGTATATGGGTTTCAAAATTGCACTTACTTTGCCAGTTGGAAGTGTACAAACAGAAAGATCTTTTTCAAAATTGAAAATAATAAAAAATAGACTTCGATCAACAATGGCTAATGACCGATTAGAGTCATTGATGATTATATCATGTGAACACGATATAGATGTAGATTATGATTATGTTATTAATAAATTTAAACAATCAAGCCCTCTTTTAATGACATCACTTACACTATGAATGTATATAAAAATATTACTTCTATATTGAAAGTTTAATTTTGTATTTTTCTGTTTCTTATAATATAAAAAATGTTTGTATTGTATATTATATTTGTACTTTTATATTGAAGAGGTTTTTTTTGTATGTTTTATTACTTATTGAAGTAATAAGTCTCTTTATAAATATATATATATATATATTTTTTTTTTTATAGGTATACAAATATTTTGTACTTTACGATTACAATAACCTACCTGTATTAATAAATTTATTGTAGAAAATTAAGTAGGTATTAATTTAATTGGTAAAAATGTGGGTGGGTGGGTAAAAATTTGTATTCGCGACATGTAATAATAAATCCATGTGCGCCACTGAGCACCGGTGAAACTCGCTGTAAGTGAATACCCTAGGTCGGTGAAACTCGCTGTAAGTGAATACCCTAGGTCGGT